ACCTTTTTCCCAGGTGGGCCAGCTTTACTGCCACTCGCATTCTTTCTCTGGTGTTTCCCAGTGCCCCTGAACACTTCCAGCGTAGTCCAGCTCAGGGCCCTTAAGGCTTAGCCCTTTGTCCAGTGGAGACATCAAGTGGTCAGAGCCTGGAAAGGCAGCGGTGAAGCCGAGGACATGGAGCCAGGGTGGCAGTTGCTGTCAGAGCCCTCCTGCCAAGCTGAGCCTGACACTCTCACACTGAGTGTCAATCCTGGACACACACTGAGCCCTATCCTGGCTTATTCCACCCACAGAACAAGACCCCTGGGGGCTGGCATTGTGGCACACTGGGTTAAGCTGTGGCCTGAAGTGCTGTCACCCAATATGGGTGCCAGTTCATGCCTTGGCTGCCCCACTTCTGATCCAGCTCCCTACTGATGCACCTGGGAAAACCAGCAGAGGATGGCCCAAGAGCTTGGGCCCCTGGACCCATGTGGAAGACCCAAAAGATGCTCCTGGCTCTTGGCTTCAGCCTGGCACAGCTCTGGTTATTGCAGCCAATTGGGAAGTGAACCAGCATTGTAGCATAGTGGGGTAAGCCTCTGGCTGCAATGCTGGCATCCTGTGTGGATGCTAGTTCGAGTCCCGGCTGCTCCACTTCCAATCCAGCTCCCTGCTAATGTGCTTGGGAAAGCAGAGGAGAATGGCTCAAATGCTTGAGTTCCTGCACCCACATGGGAGACCTGGAAAAAGCTCCTGGCTCCTGGCTTCGGATTGGTGCTGTTGCAGCCAGTTGGGAAGTAAATCAGCAGATGGAAGACCTCTCTCTCTCTCTCTCTTTCTGCCCCTCCTTCTCTCTCTGTGTAACTCTGAATTTCAAGTAAGTAAATAAATCTTTTTTTAAAAAAGTATTTATTTACGTACTTAATGAAAGAAGAAGACAGAGAGTGTGAGTGAGAGAATGTCTTATCTGCTGGTTCACTCCCCAAATGCCTGGGAGTGTGAAACTCAGTTGAAATTCCCCTATGTGAGTGGCAGGAACCAAGTATCAAAGCCATCACCTGCTGCCTCCCAGGGTCTGCATTAGTAGGAAGTTGCAACTGGGAGCAGAGCCACAACTTGAATCCAGGCACTCTGATACGGGATGCAGTTGTCCCAAGCGGTAGCTTAACACTGAGCCAAAAGCCAACCCCTTAAGCAACTTTTTATTGAAGTGTAACATATATTCAGGAAAGCGACCATATCACAAGAATTTTCACAAACTAAGCTCATTTATGTAACTAACATTCACTGCCAGCTTCCCAGAAGCCCTCTCTCCATTTATTTATTTATTTTTTTGACAGGCAGAGTGGACAATGAGAGAGAGAGACAGAGAGAAAGGTCTTCCTTTGCCGTTGGTTCACCCTCCAATGGCTGCTGCGTGCACTGCGCTGATCCGATGGCAGGAGCCAGGTACTTATCCTGGTCTCCCATAGGGTGCAGGGCCCAAGTACTTGGGCCATCCTCCACTGCACTCCCGGGCCACAGCAGAGAGCTGGCCTGGAAGAGGGGCAACCGGGACAGAATCCGGCGCCCTGACAGGGACTAGAACCTGGTGTGCCGGCGCCGCAAGGCGGAGGATTAGCCTAGCGAGCCGCAGCCCCGGCCCCTCTCTCTATTTTTTTTTAAAGATTCATTTTAATTTATTTGAAAGACAGAATTAAAGGAGAGGTAGAGCCAAAGAGAGAGAGAGAGGGGTCTTTCATCCACTGGTTCATTCCCCAAATGACCGCAATGGCCAGAGCTGAGCTGATCCGAAGCCAGGAACAAGGAGCTTCTTTCAGGTCTCCCACACTGGTGCAGAGGCCCAAGGACTTGGGCCATCTTCTACTGCTTTCCCAGGCCATAGCAGAGAGCTGGAATGGAAATGGAGCAGCCAGGACTCGAACCAGCGTCCATATGGGATGCCGGTGCTGCAGGCCAGGGTTTTAACCCACTGTGCCACAGCGCCAGCCCCCAGAAGCCCTCTCTTAATCCCTTCTTCCCACCTCCTCTCCAAGGGTAACCACTAGTGTGACTTCTATTAGGATATATTAGTTTTGTCTGGTCTTATAATTCTGTATATTTGAAATCATACTGTGTATATTTTTTAGGTCTGGCTTCTTTGTAGACATATTCATTTTTAATTAACACAATGACTGTACACATTTACAGTGTACAGTATGATATTTTAATACATATGTACAATGTGTAATGATCAGATAAAGATAACTGGAAGCTCTATCACTTCAAACATTTATTATGTCTGTGTGGGAACATTCAAAGTCCTCTCTATCAGCTACTTTGAAATGTGCAATTAATTATTGTCACCCACAGTTAACCCCATTGTGCTTCTAGAGCACTGGAAGCTAGTCTTCCCTTCCAGCTGAAGACCTATACCCAAGCAGTATTTGCTTTCCATTCCCCTACCCACCATTCACAGCCTCTAGTAACTGTTATTCTATCTACTTCTATGAGATTGACTTTTTTGTTAGCTTCAAGATACAAGTGAGAACATGTGGCATTTGTCTTTCTGTTACTGACTATGATTCTGTTATTTCACTTAACAAAATGTTTTCTGGGTTTATCCATGTTGCCGCAAGTGACAGGATTTTATTCCTTTTTACAAATGAATAAGATTCCGTTGTGTATAGAAATCACATTTTTAATGAAGATTTATTTATTGACTTGAAAGTCAGCGTTACACAGAGAGAGAAGGAGAGGCAGAGAGAGTGAGAGGTCTTCCATCCTTTGGTTCACTCACCAGAGGGCTGCAACAGCTGGAGCTGTGCCGATCCGAAGCCAGGAGCCAGGAGCTTCTTCCAGGTCTCCCATGTGGGTGCAGGGGCCCAAGGACTTGGGGCATCTTCTACTGCTTTCCCAGACCATAGCAGAGAGCTGGATGGGAAGAGGAGCAGCCGAGACTCAAACCAGTGCCCATATGGGATGCTGGCACTGCAGGTGGTGGCTTCACCTGCTATGCCACAGCGCTGGCCCCAGAAATCACATTTTTAAAAATTGCCACTCTTTTTTTTTTTTTTTGACAGGTAGAGTGGACAGTGAGAGAGAGAGAAAGGTCTTCCTTTGCCGTTGGTTCACCCTCCAATGGACACCGCGGCCGGTGTGCTACGGCCGGCGCATCGCGCTGATCCGAAGCCAGGAGCCAGGTACTTCTCCTGGTCTCCCATGCGGGTGCAGGGCCCAAGCACTTGGGCCATCCTCCACTGCACTCCTGGGCCATAGCAGAGAGCTGGCCTGGAAGAGGGGCAACCAGGACAGAATCCGGCGCCCCGACCGGGAATAGAACCCGGTGTGCCGGCACCACAAGGCAGAGGATTAGCCTATTGAGCCACGGCAAAATTGCCACTTTAACTTTAAAAAAAGGATTTATTTACTTATTTGAAAGGCAGAGTTGCAGAGGGTGTGTGTGTGGGGGGGGAGAGAGAGAGAGAGAGAATGAGAGAGCGCTTCTGTCTGCTGGTTTACTCCCCAAATGGCCACAATGGCCAGGGCTGGGCTCTGCTGAAGCCAGAAGCCAGGCACTTCATCCAGGTCTCCCACGTGGGTGCAGGGGCCTGGGTACTTAGGCCATCTTCTGCTGCTTTCCCAGGTGCATCAGCTGGATTGGAAGCAGTCAGCACTTGAACTGGCACCCATATGGGATGCCAGGATCACAGGCAGTGGCTTAACCCAGTATGCCACAATGCTGGCCCCAACACCACATTTTTAAAATTCATTCATCCATTAATGGACAAATAAGTTTATTCCATATCCTGGCTGTTGTGAATAGTACTGCAACTGCACATCTCTTTGACATGCTGATTGCAGTTCCTTTGAATATATAGTCAGTAGTGGAATTGGTGGCTCATATGGTAGATCTATTACTTGTTTTGAGAGGAAGCTCCATACTGTTTTCTATAATGGCTATACTAATTTACATTCCCACCAACAGCATATGAGAGTTCCTCTTTTTTTTGCATCCTCACCAGCATCTGTTAATTTTTGTCTTTTTGATAATAGCCATTCTAATTGGGGTAAGATGATGTCTCATTGTGGTTTTGCTTTGCATTTCCCTGGTGATTGGTTCTGTTGAGCATTTTTCAAATGCCTACTGGGGAGTCAAAATTATGTCAGTGAAGTTCTTCCGAGTTACTATGTGTAGTTGTTGATTGTTCATCCTTATTGAAGTCTAGTATTTCACTGTGTGAATTTATATCACAATATGGTTACCCATTCTGGTGTCAGTGAACATTGGGTGTTTTTCCATTTGGAGGTTATTATAAATTAAGTGATGATGCTATGAATCTTTTTCTTCTTAAGATTTTTATTTATTTATTTCAGAGGTAGAGCTATAGACACAGAGAGGGAGAGACAGAGAGAAAGGTCTTTAATCTGCTGGCTCACTGTCCAAATGGCAGCAATGACCCAACTGAAGCCAGGAGCCAGGAGCTTCTTCTGGGTCTCCCACATGGGTGCAGGAGCCCAAGCACTTGGGCCATCTTCCACTGCTTTCCCAGGCCATAGGCAGAGAGCTGGATTGGAAGAGGAACAGCTGAGACATGGACCGGCACCCATTTAGGTTGCCAGTATCACAAGCGGAGGCTTAGCCTACTCTGCCACAGTGCCATCCCCAATGCTATGGATCTTGTATGTCTGTTGGTGAACATAGGTAGGCATTTCTGTATCTACAGTGAAGTTGCTGGGGTACAGGGTATGTATTTGTTTAGCTTTGGTAGATGCTAACAAATATTTTTCTGATGTGGTTGTATGAATTTAAATACTCCACTCAGTATGCAAATTCCAGCTGTTCCACATCTTCACCATTTCATTGAAAAGTTTGTATCTGTTCCATTTTAAACTTTCTGGATGGAGTGTACCGATAACATCACATTTTGGATGAGCATGCAATGCAAATAAGCTTATCTGGATGTCTTGGTTTTATTGTTAACAACTATAGGTAAACTTGAAGGGATACTGACCCTGCTATCTTTTGTTTTTGACAGGGAGAGTGGATAGTGAGAGAGAGAGAGACAGAGAGAAAGGTCTTCCTTTTCCGTTGGTTCACCCTCCAATGGCTGCTGCGGCCGGTGCGCTGCAGTCGGCGCACTGCACTGATCCAAAGCCTGGAGCCACATGCTTCTCCTGGTCTCCCATGCGGGTGCAGGGCCCAAGCCATCCTCCACTGCACTCCTGGGCCACAGCAGAGAGCTGGACTGGAAGAGGAGCAACCGGGACAGAATCTGGCACCCCAACCAGGCCTAGAACCTGGGGTGTCGGCGCCACAAGCAGAGGATTAGCCTATTGAGCTGCAGCGCTGGCCACTGACCCTGTTATCTTATTATTGATACTGAAAAAGGAGTCAGCTCCACATTTCTAAAACCCAATTAAAAGGCTTTAGTCATTTCGGCAAAAACTTATAAATATCTGAAATTCATAAATTCATCAAGGACTGCTTTCATCATGCAACTCTTTATTCTTAGTAACCCTTATCTGAAAAAGCATTTTGGAGCACTTGACCTTGGAGGATTCTCCAGGAAGGAACTGTTTTTGCTAAACTGGAGGCTTCAGCAGGGACCTTCACTGAGGAGAGTTGTAAGAAACAGTCATGGGAAACTGGCTGCTGGATTTACGGCAGGATCTCGATGAGGACAGAGTTCATTCATCTGTCCAGAAGAAATTTCTTCTCCATCTCCGTAGCAGGAATAGGCATTTTCCTTGGGAGAAGCTATTTTACTTTCAGCTGATAGGCCTCACGAGTCACATGATGGACCAACCACCTTTTTTTTTTTTTTTTTTTCACAGCAACTCTTAGGAGGCTTAATGTCAGATGTGTAACCCAGGGTTTCCAATACCTAGGCTTCCATAAACTACATTGTTTTCACTAACCTCACCTGACTGCTCTTAGTTTTCTTTCTCCCACTTCCCCTATGTCCTTATTCCTTCACCTTCCTGATTTTTACATTTTTTTTCCTCCTGAGTTATCAGCTCTTACGCTGGGCACATCAGGAATATGGAAATTACAGTAGTTAAGTTGCCTTGGAGAGTCCGATGCTGGGATCAGCTCAGCCTGTTCAGAGAAATGCAGAAGCTCCAGGTGGAGACAGGACAGCTGCAGGCACCAACACTTGTCACCTGGCTGGATGTGGTCCCTAACAGTGTCTCCCTTCCCAGCACCGCCTCCTCGCCACACTCCTGCCTGGGGATTAACTGACCAGGTTCTACTCTTGGTATTTGACCAGCCTCCTCCTGCGGACTATAAAGGCTGGACCATTTCCTACGTGTCCTGAAAGCAAAGGCAACAATCAGTCTGTCATTTAAACAAGAGGAGATTTACGACCTTTGGCTAAAAGAACTGTTTTTACAAGAGCAATACTTGATTGGTTCCCTGCTGGGGCAGCTTCCAAGGAGTCTCCTGAGTGTTTATTTCTGTTGTTCCTGTATTGTCTCTGTGGTTGAGTCCGGACCTGGGGCCAGCAAGTCAGGTAACTACAGAGGGGTGAGCAGAAAAATCTTGTCTAAACTCTGGAGGAAGGATTCAAAGGGATAATTCTCTCTTTTTTTCTTCTTTTTTTGAGATTTATTTATTTGAAAGTCAAAGAATGAGGATCTTTCATCCACTGGTTCATCTGCCAATGCCCACTACAGCTAGGGCTACACCAGGGAACAGGAACTCCATCTGTGTCTCCCACATGAGTGACAGGAACCCAAATACTTGGTCCATCATCTGCTGCCTTCCAGGCACTTTAGCCAGAAGCTGGATCAGAAGCCCTGAATAGCTGAGACTCTAACCGGGCACTCTGATAAGGGATTCGGGTGCCCCAAGCAGCGGCATAACCCACTGCACCTTAATGCCTATCCCAATTCACTTGTTTATCTTCTCACATTTTGCCAAAATATTTTTGGACGGAGAAACGCGGCTGCTTTCCTGCCTCTCTTGTGGTAGAGCATAGGGGCAGGGGATTCACAGCACTGTAGGAGTTTATCAGGCTAGGCCACTGAGCAGGCAGAACAGTGGCTCTGCGAAGAAATTCCACACATGAATCCCTGCAACCTGTGACTGTGTTACTTACCTCAACAGGGCCAAAGGGACTTGGCAGCTGTGCTTGAGTTAATGACCTCGAGATGGGAAGGTGATCCTGTATTATCCTGCTGGGCCAGACCTCCCCACAGGGTCACAGTCCCGGCGAGGCAGGGCCAAAGCCCGAGACAGAGAAGTGATGCTAGAATTGGAGGCCAGAGTGGCATGGTTGCTGGCTTGACGGGGCTGGGGGGTGAGGTGGGGCAAGGGCCATGAGCTGGGGAATGCCGGCAGCTGGTAGAAACTGGGAGAGGCGAGGAACAGATTCTGCCCTGGAGCCTCAGAAGGAATGTGACTCTGCCTTGATTTTAGCCCAGTTCTGACTTGCAGGCTGATGAGATACCTTGTATTGCTTAACTGGTTAGGTTGTTACAACAACAACAGGAAATGGGGCGGGCACACACACACACAACTTCAAATATATCTTGGGGAGTTTTTCTTCATTTAGGCAAATATAAGCAGCCGTATAAAGAAAAGAGGTGTCCCGGGAGCCGGGGTCTGGTCAGTTAGAGCCTTAGAGCCTGTCTAGGCACATGGAAGGAGAGGTGAGAGCTGCTCTCCAGGGCTGCCCCCGTGGCGAGGGTCTGACCAGTGCTCACTGCACATTGGAATACAGGCCCCTTAGGTCCCCATCAGCCCCAGACTGATGGTAACAGCAAACACGTATGGAGAACTTACTCCAGGCCAGCACTTTATTCAGGGTTAGCTCCGGGAATTCTCACTAGAACTCGGCAAGGCTGGCTCTGCTCACCCTTGGCTGACTGTGCAGCCCCGGGGATTGGGTCACCCAGTTGCACCTCCGAGCTTCAAGGTCTCAGGATGCCAGCATGAATGCACTTGGCTAGCACCACATCCACTTTTGTCTTAGTCAATTTGGGCTACTGTAACAAAATTCCAGGAACCAGGGGGCTGAAAAAGCAGAAATGTGTTTCTCACAATGCAGAAGACTGGAAGTCCAAGGTCAAGACAGCAGCAGATCCAGGATCTGGTGAGGTCATTCTTCCTGGTCTGCAGCCAGCTGTCTTGGATTGTCATATACTGGGAAGGGTTGGGGGGTGGGGGAAAGGAGGGAGCTCTGGCATTTGTTTTTTTCTTTTTAAAGATTTTATTTAGGGGCCAGTGCTATGGCATAGTATGTTAAACCTCTGTGTTCAGTGCTGGCATCCCATCAGGGCAATGGTTCTCGTCCTGGCTGCTCCTCTTCCCATCCAGCTTTCTGCTAATGGCCTGGGAAAGCAGCAGTAGATGGCCCAAGTGCTCAGGCCCCTGACCCTGCATGGGAGACCAGGAAGAAGCTTCTGGGTTCAGCCTGACCCAGCCCTGGCCGTTGTGGTCATTTGGGGAGTGAACAAGTGGATGCAAGACTTTTCTCTCTGTCTCTCCCTCTGTCTGTCTGTAACTCTACTGCCCAAATAAATACATAAATAAATTTAAAAAGATTTTGTTTATGTATTTGAAAGGCAAAGTGACACACACACACACACCCACACAGAGAGAGAGAGATCTTCCATCCACTGGTTCACTCTCCAAATGGCTGTAATGAAGGGCTGCGGCTGGGGCTGGCTGAAGCTCCATCTGGAGCTCCCACATAAATGCCAGGGGCCCATGCACCTGAACTGTCTTCTGCTGCCCTCCAAGACACATTAACAGGGAGCTGGATCTGAAGTGTTCTGCTGGGACTCTGGAACCAGCGTTCTGGTCGATATGGGACGCTGACGCCGGAAGCGGCAGCTCAGCCGCTGTGCTGCATGCTGATCCTTTGTTTCTTTTTCCTCTTTTTTTTTTTTTGAAAGATTTATTTATTTACTTGAAAGTCAGAGTTACACACAGAGAGAAGGAGAGGCAGAAAGAGAGAGAGAGAGAGAGAGGTCTTGTATCTGCTGGTTCACTTCCCAATTGGCCGCAATGGCCAGAGCTGCGCTGATCTGAAGCCAGGAGCTTCCTCTGGGTCTCCCACATGGGTGCAGGAGCCCAAGGACTTGGACCATCTTCTACTGCTTTCCCAGGCCACAGCAGAGAGCTGGATTGGGAGTGGAGCTGCCGGGACTCGAATTGCCGCCCCATATATGGGATGCTGGTGCTGTAGGCTGGGGCTTTAACTTGCTGTGCCACAGCGCTGGCTCCCCCCTGTTTCTTCTTATAGAGCACTAATCCCATTTATGAGGACCCTACCTTAGTGACCTCATCACTTCCCAATGGCCCCACCTCTTAATACCGTCAAGCTGGGAATTAGGCGTCAACATTTTTTTTTTTTTTTGACAGGCAGAGATAGACAGTGAAAGAGAGAGCTACAGAGAGAAAGGTCTTCCTTTTCCGTTGGTTCACCCCCCCAGATGGCCGCTATGGCCGGCGTGTTGCGGCCGGCGCGCTACGCCGATCCGAAGCCAGGAGCCAGGTGCTTCTTCCTGGTCTCCCACGCAGATGCAGGGCCCAAGCACTTGGGCCATCCTCCACTGCACTCCTGGGCCACAGCAGAGAGCTGGACTGGAAGAGGAACAACCGGAACAGAATCTGGTGCCCCAACCAGGACTAGAACCCAGTGTGCCAGCACCACAGGTGGAGGATTAGCCTAGTGAGCCACGGTGCCGGCCTCAACATATCTTTTTTTAAAAGCTTTATTCATTTTACTTGAAAGTTACAGTTACACCGAGAGAGAAGGAGAGAGAGAGAGAGAGAGAGAGAGAGAGAGAGAGGTCTTCCATCCACTGGTTCACTCCCCAATTGGCCACAACGGCCAGAGCTGTGCTGATCCAAAGCCAGGAGCCAGGAGCCTCTTCCGGGTCTCCCACATGGGCGCAGGGGCCCAAGGACTTGGGCCATCCTCCACTGCTTTCCCAGGCCATAGCAGAAAGCTGGATTGGAAGTGGAGCAGCCAGGACTCGAACCAGCGCCCATATGGGATTCTGGCACTGCAGACGGTGGCTTTACCCACTGCGCCACAGTGCTGGCCCCTAATAAAACATTTTAAGAAATTATACTTTCATTTTATTTTAAAGACAAAGAGAGAGAGAGAGATGCAGAAAAAGCTTCCATTCCCTGGATCACTCCCCGAATGCCTACAACAGCTAGGGCTGGGCCAGGCTGAAGCCAGGAGCAGGGAATTCAACCAATGTGGGTGGCAGGGGCCTAAGTACTTGAAGCATCATTTGCTGCCTCCTTCCTTTTTAGCAAGGAGCTTGAATGAGAAGCAGAACTGGGATTTGAACCCAGAAAACAGTGTCTTTAACAGCTGCATCAAATGCTTGCCCTGGGGCCAGCACTCTGGTGCAGTGGCTTAAACTGCTGCCTGCAGTGCCAGCATCCCATATGGGCACCAGTTCAAGTCTCGGCTGCTCCACTTCCGATCCACCTCCCTGCTAATGCACCTGGGAAAAGCAGCAGAATGCGGTCCACATCCTTGGGCCCCTGCATCCACATGGGAGATCTGGATGAAGCTCCTAGTTCCTGGCTTTGGCCTGGTCCAGCCCTGGCCATTGTGGCCATTTGGGGAGTGAACCAGTGAATGGAAGATCTCTCTCTATATTTATCTTCCTCTTGCTCTGTAACTTGCCTTTCAAATAAAATAAATAGATCTTAAAAAAAAAGCCCGTCCCAATTTTCGTGTGAAATAGATTAAACAATATATTAAATTCATTCGTTCACTCATCCTTTTTTTTTTTTTTTTTTCAGGCAGAGTGGACAGTGAGAAAGAGAGACAGAGAGAAAGGTCTTCCTTTGCCGTTGGTTCACCCTCCAATGGCCGCCACGGCTGGCGTGCTGTGGCCGGTGCACCGCGCTGATCCGAAGACAGGAGCCAGGTGCTTCTCCTGGTCTCCCATGGGGTGCAGGACCCAAGCACTTGAGCCATCCTCCACTGCACTCCCTGGCCACGGCAGAGAGCTGGCCTGGAAGAGGGGCAACCGGGACAGAATCCGGTGCCCCGACTGGGACTAGAACCCAGGGTGCCGGCGCCACTAGCCAGAGGATTAGCCTAGTGAGCCGCGGCGCTGGCCATCACTCATTCATTCTACAAACATGTGTCATGCTACCGCTTCTACAAGGTTGAATGTCACGTGCTAGGGATTCCAGCAGAGAAAGCAGGTACGGAAAGGGCTCCAGTATGCAGAGTTGTTGACATAGTTACTGTCTGCTCCCCATCTGCCCCAGCTCTTTGGTGCCCCCTGCCCTATTGAGGTATCTAGGGGGGGGTCCAGCTCACTTTTCCAGATCCCCTCTCTTCTCATAGGCAGGGAGGGGTTGAGAAGCAGAAGTGAAACCTCATCGGATGCTCTGGTGATCTCAAATACATTTTCGTCTCCAGAGTCTGGGTGAGAGGGCCTGGGCCTGGCTGCCACTTCTGAGAGTCCAGTGGGCCTTGTTCAGGGTGTATGCTGTGCCCAACAGGATGCCATGATCAGCCAGTGTCTCTTTTGGAACCATCCCCCACGCAAGGCAGGTGGACAGGACACCTGGCTGTTGTAACTCAACTCTTTCCCTTGCAATTCACTCAGCTGGTGAAGGCAACTGTTTGTTGAATGAACAGATGAGTCTCATTTGGGTTCCAAGCCCAGGTGGGCAGCTCAGCAGCTGCGAGGCCCCGAGCAAACTGCTTTCCTTGCTGAGTTTCCTCTTTGTCATCATCAAGAGAGAACAATGAGACCCACTAGGGTTGTACCTTCACTCATCCGTTTCACAGTTTTGCTTTAAAACCGTTTTTTTTTCTTTATTGTGAAATAAACACAAAGGAAACCACACAAGACAAACGTATGATTTAATGAGGTATCCTAAGGCAAACATCACTGTAACCAGTGTTACAATGTCTCCCCAAGGTAAGACAGGACTTTGCAAGAACCTGCATCCCCAACTCCCTCGAGATGACTCTCCTTTTCTTAGCTCCCTCACTTCCTCTTATGATGAATGAGTAACATGACATTTTAAGTAATAACTTTCTTGTATATTTTATCAGGCAAGTGTGTATCCTCAGATACTATTGTTTAGACTTGCCCATTAAACAAAACATATCTTTTGGCTTGGGTGTTTTACATAGTAGTTCAGACACCACTTGGGATGCCCATATCCCATATCAGAGCACTGGGTTCAAGTCTTGCCTTCAATTCCAGTTTCCTGCTAGTGTGCGCCCTGGGAGGAAGCAGTTGATGGCTCAAGTACTTGGGTCCCTGCCACCCCTGTGGGAGACCCTGAGTGAATTCCCAGCTCTTGATTTTGGGCTGTCCCAGCCCTGGCTGTTTTAGGCATTTGGGAAGTGAACCAGCAGATGGGAGATCTGTCTTTGTCTCTCTCTTTCTCTCTGCCTTTCAATAAATACAAATAAAAATACATCTTTAAGGTCTCTTTTAGTCTCTAGATCCCCCTCAGCCCTTTCTTTTCTTTGCTAGTTATCCTTTCTGCCTGGAGAGTTTCCCACAACCTGGCGTTTGCTGACTGCGTCCTCCTGGTGCAGTTTAATGCGCTTCTTGGTCGTTGTGCTTCCTTCCTGTAAATTGGAATGGGATCCAGGGGCTTGATCAGACTCGGCCACAATCCCTTCAGCTGGATCCCTGCGGGAGAGCTGTTCTTTTGTGGGGAGGCACATCGATGTTGGGTGACTGGTGATGCTCATTATAGGTCAAATGTTAATCTGCTGGGGACGGCAAAGTGGTAACATTCCAGTCCTAGCCTTTCTTTGTCATTCATTGGTGGGACTACTTTTATAGACACTTTCCCTCATTCTTCTTGGTACTTGTTGGTACAGAACAGTTCATGTAAGAAAAGCAGCATAAGTGCTAGATTCTTCACCCCCCCCCCCTTTAAACTAGATCTCAAGAGAATTAATTGATTCTTTAGCTATATTGAGAATTAGATGCTCAAGGATGCAGGGAATGAGGGAATATCCCATAATGGTTTTTTTCTTGCTTTATCCCACATTATACACACGAGTCTCAAATGTTAACAGTAATATCACCAACATCATAATTATTGGAAATGGTTAAAACATTTTGAAAACATTGGCTTTTCCCATTTTCCATGTTTTTTATGATTACTATTATTTTAAAATTTCTTTATTTGAGAGGCAGAGGAACAGAGATAGATTAGATAGAGCAGCCCACCCACTGGTTTACTCCCCACATGCCTGCAACCACTGGAGCTAGGCAGGGGCTGAAGCCAGGAGCCTGGATTTCAGGCCACATCTCTCACACAGCGGCAGGAGTCCAATGACTTGAGCCATCACCATTGCCTTCCAGGATCTGCATTAGCAGGAAACTGAATCAGGAACCAAAGCTGGGTACCTAACCCAGGTACTCCAGTGTCGGAAGTGGGCATCTTAACCTCCAGGCTAACCATCCTCCTCCACTCTCCATATTTAAGAAGTCGCTGGGGCCAGTGCTGTGGCACAGCGGGTTAAAGCCCCGGCCTGCTGTGCTAGCATCTCATATGGATTCTCGTTTGAGTCTCGGCTGCTCTACTTCCCATCCAGCTCTCTGCTGTGGCCTGGGAAAGCAGTGGAAGATGGCCCAAGTGCTTGGGCCCCTGCACCCGAGTTGGGGACCTGGAAGAAGCTCCTGGCTCCTGGCTTCGGATCCGTGCAGCTCTGGCCCTTGTGGCTAACTGGCGAGTGAACCAGCAGATGGAAAACCTTTCTCTCTCTCTCTCTCTCTCTCTGCCTCTTCCTCTCTGTAATTCTGCCTTTCAAATAAATAAAATGAATCTTAAAAAAAAAAGTAGTCTTGTAGCTACATTGTCAGGGCATAGAGGTTTCAATGCTCTATTGTCTGCTTTCCTGTCCCCATGTAGTCTTAGCTGTACAAGTAACTATCTATTTAATATTCACTGCAAGTCCTTTTATTTTAGTTTTTCTAGTCATTTTGGTTATATGAAGCTTTTTATAAGGCAGGTGCTGGTTCAAGAAGGGCTCAGCAGGTTGTCATCTGAGTTCTTGCTTGTTAATAACAATTTACCTGGGCCCATCCTTATTTCCAAGTCAGTTTTGCTGGACATAAAATTTATTATTGTATTCTTTGTTCTGGAGTATCTTGAATCCGTTACTTCATTTTCTCCTGGTGTAAGGCATCGCTTTTGAAAAGCTTGAAAATTTTATTTATTTAATGTAAATAAATTATTTTTCCTGTCATTTATTTATTTTTTTATTTAGATGCTTGAAAGATTTTTTCCCCTTATCTCCTTGAAGTCCAATACTTTTATTAGAATATGCCTGATTATTCTGGACTGATATTTCATGTTTGCAGTAAGCTCTTCCAGTACACAATTTTGATTTTTACAAAACTTCAGTAGGGGCTGGGGCTGTGGTGCAGCTGTTGAAATTTCTCGGCCTAATATTTGTTTTTTTCTCCAGAATATTTCTCCATTTTTTATCGATTTAAAAATATTTCTTCCTTTTCTCTCTCTCTCTCTTTTTTTTTTTTTTTTTGACAGGCAGAGTGGACAGTGAGAGAGAGAGACAGAGAGAAAGGTCTTCCTTTGCCGTTGGTTCACCCTCCAATGGCCGCCACGGCTGGCGCACTGCGGCCGGCCCACCGCGCTGATCCGAAGGCAGGAGCCAGGTGCTTCTCCTGGTCTCCCATGGGGTGCAGGGCCCAAGCACTTGGGCCATCCTCCACTGCACTCCTGGGCCACAGCAGAGAGCTGGCCTGGAAGAGGGGCAACCGGGACAGAATCCGGCGCCCCGACCGGGGCTAGAACCCTGTGTGCCGGCGCCGCAAGGTGGAGGATTAGCCTGTTGAGCCGTGACGCCGGCCCTTCCTTTTCTCTTAAGCATTATCTCAAGAGTGTGCTAATTTGCTCTTGTGTCCTTCCCATTCCATCTTCACTTCTAAAACGACTTTCCCCTTACATTTCTAATCATTTCCCTGGTTCTGTCACCATTTTTCTATGGCTCTCTGACTCTCATTTATGTTACTCTTTCACATCTTGCATAATTGAAATGCCTTCTAGGGCGTTTTGCAGTGGAAGGGCTGATCTCCCCCGGGAAGTGCCTTGCAGCCTCACGCAGCATTGGCAGGACTGTGGTTTTGCTCAGAATCACTTTGGATGGGATTTGGCCTCGAGGCTTCTCCGCTGCTCACTTCTGTGTGAAATGAGCCGTGAGCGACTGGACAGAGGAGATGCTCAGAACGCACCCCTCTCCTGCCGTGTACACAGGGTGGCCCATGTTCTGGGTGCCCTAGCTCAGCTTCCTCCTTCTGCTTTTGTCCAGCTTCCTTTGAATCCTATTCTAGCTCTAGGGGCCCAGTCCTGGAAGCCAGCCCAAGTGGGCCAGGGTAAAAAAAATTAATGACCGGGATAGGGGAGGGGGTACTGCCTGGGTCTGGGTCCTCCCCAGCCCTCGTACCTACCTGGTAGGGACCTGGAAAGACCCCTGGCAACCCCTGTGTCCCTCCACACTGTCTAGAGAATACCACTGGCTAGTGTAGGGTTCTCCTCTCGGTCTATCTGCTGTCTTCTTGTTTCCCTCTGTTGCCCCGCCAGGGTGGCTATGAGAAGTCTGTGCCTCCTCACTCACGTCTGGGTGATTATGGGGATACCTTGCCAACTGACTCTGAAGCATATATCATCTGGGGGTTTGGTGTTTGTTAATTTGACCTGCTTATTTAACCTTAAAAAAGTTATTTGAAAGGCAGAGTGACAGAGAGAGAAAGAGAGTAAGAGAGTGAGAGAGAGCAAGTGAGTGAGCACACACACACACACACACACACACACACACACTGATCTTCCATTCTCTGGTTCACTCCTCCAAGTACCCACAACAGCCAGGGCTGGGCCAGGCTGAAGCCAGCAGCTTAGAACTCACTCTGAGCCTCCAGGTACTCGGGCCGCCATCTGCTTCCTCCTAGCAGGAAGCTGGATTGAAAGCACAGAGTAACCAAGGTTCGAACCAGGCACTCTGATATGGGATGTGGGCATCTCTAGCCAGCGGCTAAACCCACTGTGCCACATGCCTGCCCAGACCTGCTTACTTTTATTTGGAATTTGGGGAGAGTAAAGCGCTTCAGTGGAATTGTTAGCATCTTCCTGGCTAGTTCAGTGTTTTCTATGCCAGGTTCCTTACTGGACCACAAGAAGATGAGATGTAATAATGAGTGTAGTGTATTTAAGTGTCCTGTAAAGTCTGCTCCTGCTCTCTGCTGCCCTCAACCAAGCCTGATCCTCTTTCACTGCTGCAGGCTTGGCTCTTGGTCCTTTTATTATTTTAAGATTTATTTTCTTTATTTGAAAGGCAGAATGACAGAGAAACAGGAAGAGACAGAGATCTTCCATCTGCTGGTTCACTCCCCAAATGGCTGGAATGGTGGGGGCTGAGCCAGGCTGAAGCCCGGAGCCAGGAACTCTATCCACGTCTCCTCTGTGGGTGGCCAGGGCCCAGGTATCTTGAGCCATCTTCCGCTGCTTTCACAGGCGCATTAGCAGGAAGTGGATTGGAAGTGGAGCAGTCCCGTACGGGATGCTGGGGTTGCAGGTGGCGACTTAACTGGCTGCATCTCATTTCAGGCCCTTCCCCCACCCCTGGTGCTTGTGCTTGGTTCACACGATGGTGCAGGAGGTGGTGCAGGCCCCCACACTGGCCACCCTGAAGCTGGGGTCCCTGACCTTTGTGCCCTGGCCTTGCTCTGCTGGGACCTTGCTGGGCATGTCCACCCACAGTGGGTTTTGAAGAGTGATAGATCTACCCTGTGGCCATAAAAAGGACATGAGCCTGAGATGCCCTCTGCTGGCCATTGCTTTAATTGCAGAGAGGAGAGGAATCAGGTCTCCCATGGGAGCTTGGGGCCGCTCCCTTCTCAGGCAGTGAGGAGGGTTCATCCTTTTTCCTTCTGGTTGGAAATGTGTATTTGCAGAAAAATAATGATAATCAAGAAGATATTTTCTCGTATGATCCTGCTGTCCACGCAAACACATCTTTTCTCTATTTTTTCATTTTATTTGGAAGGGAGACACACACACACACACACACACACACACACACACACAGATATCTCCCGTTTGCTCAGAGGTCCACAGCAGCTGGTGCTGGGCCAGGCCCAAGTTTGGAGCCAGGAGCTCCATCGAGGTCTCCCATGTGGGTGGCAGGAACCAAACACTGGAGGTATCATCTGCTGCCTCCCAGGGCGTGCATTTGGCCTGAGCCCAGGTGCTCTGATGTGGGCTGCCAGCATCCCAATCCAGGTCTTCACTGTGGGGTCAAACTCCCACTCTTGTTTTCTGGCATGTTTCTTCCAAGGAGACTGGGTCCCCGTGTCCCTCCCTTCTGGAAAGGGGCCTCTGGAGGTTTACACTGCAACGAGTGGAGAAGGAGCTCCAAGACTGAGACCCGGGAGACTTGGCCATGAACCCCATTGCCCTGCCCCCAGCTGGCCGCTCTAGAGTGGTCAGCTCACCATTCCCTTTCCAGGTCGGCACGTGCTAGGCGGTATAACATCCTCTGCTCTCTAAAAAAGGAAGACAAAAAGAAAAAGAAGGAAAGAAGGAGAAGATACCCCATCTCCTGCTTGCTGGAAGTGGTGACTTTGTTACTGTACGTGGCAAAGAGACTTTACAGACATGGTTGAGGTTTGAGACCACGGCATGGGGAGGCCATCCTGGCGGGGCCCAGTGTAACCGCGGAGGCTGGCAGTGTGGAGACCCTTGCCCAGCTGCAGTCAGAGCTGGGGCGCCGCTGGCTTTGCTGGAGCATGAGCCGGGGGGTGAGGGCAGCCTCGAGAAGCAAGGAAAGGAATGCTCCTGGCACAGGCGTGCAGCCCTGAAGACCCTTGCTTCAAGCCCAGGGCACCTGTGCGGGCTTCTGACCTCCAGCATTGTAAGATAATGAACTTGGGTTGTTTCATGCACACAGCGATTTGTGATTGCGGAGGTGGGAAATGAGCACTCTGTAATGTGGGGGCGGTGGTGGGTCGGTGGGGAGAATGTGGAGAGATTACCAGGAGGGTTGCTTTGAAAATTGCAGGACATTCACTAAGGGCTCCTCTGGGAAGCTCTCCATTTATTCTTTTGTTTAGGATGTTTAAAAACTTATTATTTATTTGAAAGGCAGAGTGACACAGGGAGGGGAGAGACAGAGAGATCTTTCATCCACTGGTTCACTCTCCAAAGGGCTACGACAGCCAAGGCTAAACCAGGCCAAACCCAGGAGCCCGGAGTTTCATCTGCGTCTCCCACATGGGTGCAGGGGCCCAAGGACTTGGGGCATCTTCCACTGCTTTCCCAGCTGCAATAGCAGGGATCGGGATCAGAAGCAGAGCAGCTGGGACTCTAACCCGCGTCAAGCAGTGGCCTAACTCGCTGTGGCACGACACCAGCCCCTCTATTTATTCTTTTATGTATCCCACAGTTACTCTCAGAGCTCATGGTTCCAGGATTGAACATGGCTCTTTCTCAGGGTTTACAGGTCGGGAGGAGAGCAGGACATTAGAAGGCCACACGGCACACACATGGCGCTGTGGGTGATGAAGTGATTGTGCAGGCGGCTGTGGGGGTGGGGAGCTGGGAACCCAGGCTCAGGCTGGCTCTCCAGGGCGGTGCCTTGTCCCCGTTCCCCTTCCACACTGGCTGCTCTGCTCCAGTCAGAGAGCCAAGTGCCAAGGACCAGAACTCAGACCAGGGGTCAGCGGGAGGAGCTGTGATGGCCCACAGGGACCTGTGTTCAAGGCCAGAGAGGGCAGGGCTTCCTGGAGTAGTGGGCGGGGAAGGAGGCAGGGCTTTGGCATGTAGCCCCAGGGTATTGTTCCTTGTTCTCTTTCTGAAGCGGTTCCAGGAAAAGGGCTTCCGGGGCTGAACTTGGCCTCGGGCCCAAGGACCAGTCTGGGTTTGGTGCGTAGGAGCTGCAGGTGAAGGGACAGAAGCTGGAACACTTTGCTGGACTTTGGACGTCTTCTCTCTGGTGGACACCATCTTGAGTTTCCTCGTATCACTTCTTGCATGTTCCAAAGCTGCCCGGTCACTTTGCCCCAAGCCTCCAGGGCAACAGAATGGAACAAACTCTCAACTGACTGCAGGGTCTAATCTAGCTGGAGGGGTTTCCCTAGGGTGGGGGAGCTCAGAATGCATCATAAAGCAGAGTCAGACAGAGGAACCCCAGCCTGGATCTGGAAGCAGATCAGTGTCCCCAAGATAGTGATTCGGGAGCTGGAGCAGGAATGTGCTGCCCCCTGGCGGTCAGTTTTGGAACTCTGGTTGGATCAGACGCCCTGCTTCCTGGGGTTCTACCCTGCTGGGATGAGTTCAACTCCTGATTGAATGGAGAGTGAATGTGTTAGGGAGAGGAGGAGGTTGGGGCTGGCCGCTGGGTCTCTTTTACCCTTCACTTTCCTAGCAGTGGCCAGGCTTATCACTGGGCTGAGAGTCAGGGACAATTCCAGAGAGCAAGC